AATTTACTTTGGAAACTAAGACTTGATTTCCAAATCACCCACTTCTGCAGTTCTAGAAATTTGATTTTCATCTTATTTTACACCAGTTTGTCAGTTTCCAACTGCATTCACTATATGCTGTCTCACACACGACAGCCCTGCCCATCCCCAGGTAACACAACCCTATAGCCCTCATTTGAAGCTACAGCTCACTACAGTGGTTTGTGGACATCTGAACAACCTGCTCTGTCTACTTAGTACAAAATCAGCTGTAGGGTGATTGCAGGTACACCCTGGAAGTGGAGTTTCTTGTTGGAAGAACAACCTGGGTCCACTTCCAGTTCTTAATGAAGTAGACTGTGGGGAAGTAGCTGAAAAGCAGTCAAGCTCAGAAGAGACCTGGCAGGGAAACACTTCTTTGCCCTTCTATGCTGCTTCCAGTTCAGCACAGAAATGATATCTGTTTGCTGTTTCTGCTTTAGAGAAACCACGCTGGCAGGTACACAGCCCTACAGACACAGAGCTTTTATCTTAGCAGTCCAACAAGATCATTGATAACACTGGTGAAAGGCACTCACCATTTGCTTGTGATACTACTTCTTTCACTGGGTTCCTTCTGCCCTTTTTTCTGAGGGGTTTTCAACAGTTTCTCTTTGGCACATTGTTCCTCCACCTACTGCTTGGCAACACGAGGAGGCGAGAGGCAGAACAGGGATGGACAAAGTTCAAGAGCCAAGATGGGGGCTGTGGTAGGTGGGGAGGAAGTCAGCTGGGCTAGGGGGTGAAAAAAAATGATGCTTTTTAAAGAGGATATAGGAACTTCCTACCCCAGAGGAAAGGCAGGTCTTGATGAGAACAATATAAAGAAGGAAGGAAATGGTTGTTTGGGTGAGCAGGAGAACCGAGTGTGGCTGTGGATGAAAGGCGAAGCTGAGCCAGACCCATGCAATCAGCAGAGCCATCAGCGTGGGATCTGGGGCCTTGGGAAGGAGAACCAAGTGCACAGCCAGGGAGGGGGCCAGGCAGGGAAAATCCCACACCTAAAGAGTATCAGCATTCAGAACAGAGATACGGATCAGGGATTTGGTACACAGGGAACAGAGAGGATGAGGAGAGCCCGAAGAATTGTGCTTTGGAAGGGGAGTTCAGCTTGAATACTTGCAGGCATTTATGAGCACGGTCTCTCATTTTGAACAGCCTGCAGCCTGGTTTGTGGGGCTCGTGACTGAAGAGCGTCGTGTTTCAAAGTGAATCAAATCCAGAATAATCAACAGCTTTTCAAATCTGAAGAAGTAATTAAATGCAAAGACAGAGCAATAGAGATGTGTCAAATAGTGCTCAGCCACTATTAAATTGGTAAAATAAGGTGCTTTACTTTTCAAAAATCGAACTGTGATTACAAAGTAAAGAAAACCTGCTTCGCAAAAGGGCGACATACTCTCTCCCAGGACAGGGTGAGAAGGGGTAATGCTGCTTTTCTCTAAGGGAAGAGCAAGCACAGCAGACCCAGCTAGTCCTGTACCCCTCTGAATGGCTCAGAACGTGGATGCCAAGTCTGATAGTACACTGCTGAATGAACGGCAGTGCAGAGAAAGCGACTGTGATGGAAGGCAGCACGGCAGGAGCACACAGACAGGTGCTGTCAGCCAAATGCTGAATGCTGCAAATGTGCCACAGCAGATGCCCCAATTAAACAAAATGCAGAGTCACAACATTTGCTTGAGTGATTGAGAAAATCAACAAGCTCTCGTGATCTCAGAATGACTGACTGTCATGGGAAACAAAAATAACTAAAGCTCCAGTGTTACTTCTATTGTAGCTTGTATGTTAAAAAAAATAAAAATTGAAAAACCTCTCGAACATGAACAGCCTTCCTCTCAATCATTTTTTAGAACTAGGCTTTCTCTAGCTCCTAAATGGATACCCTTACCAACCTGCTCTCAAAGACAGCTTGCAGAGTGGAACTGTCTTTGAATCTAGTTTTATCAATGAAGAAAATGTTGAACTTTTGGTGAAGATTTCTCCCACAGCCCTCTGCTCTGGCCGATGCTGCTGTGAATGTTTCTCTCAGCTGCTCACTCAGCCTACCCCTCTGTACACCCCTTCATGCACAACAAGTCTGAAGTGCATGTCCTGACACAGTCAGCAGAAAAATCTCCAAACCTCCAGGAGTATTAGATGGACTAGACAGGATTTCTAGACAACCTTTAAACGTCCCTTCCAACTGAGCATTCTATGATTCTAAGATGCCTGAGGAGTAGAGGAGTATCCAAATTAACGATGTTCCATGTCAGCACACACTCACCAGACAGCTGCACTGCTTTTTGCAGTCCTGTGTGATGGCCCTCAACTAACTGGTTGCTGGATGTGCCTACCCTTGTTCTGCACCTCAGAGAATGAAGGAACCCAGAGCAATCTTTCTAAAATAAGTATTCTACATGCTCAAATTGTCCACAGGACAGTCAGTGGTTTGATAAAGGGAGAAAAAGAGACAAGCAAATCAATTCAATGGACGCAAGTGCTCGAGGAAACAACCAAAGAGATACTTATTTGGTGCTGCCCAGGCTTAAAGACATTAGAGTGATTGCTGACAGGAATAAAACAATTTCTCTTCCCAACAGAGAAAACAAAATTGGGTGGCAGACCACACCAGCCAGTTCCAAACCAGCTGAACCCCCACTCCACTTGAAACCAGCTTCACAAAAGCCTGTTTTTTTTCCCTGCTGTTCAAGGTAGCAAAGCCCTGACAGACTCAGGAGCCCATCTTTCCTCTGCTTTCACCTTCTCATGACCACCCCATGCACACTGTCCCACAGCTTGCTAGCACAGCTCCCTCATTCACCGTGGGCCTCCAGGCAGGGTGAGTGCACCTGTGCAAAGCTGCACAAAGCACACAGCTTGGCACTGCTGCATGCTCCTGCAAAGGCTTTCCCCTGTCTAATGAACACAGATGCAGATGGTGGTGGGGTGATAAGGACTGCTGAGATGCGAGCTGGAGTTTTACTGGAAAGCAAACCTGAGGGGCTGAACTGAAGCATTCATTTTAAAACAACAGCTACAAGGAAAATCGTTCTATTCTGTTGCTGTTCTGATTGGAGTGGCAAAATGACATCAAGAAAACCCTCCTGGAGTTTCCAAGTGCTTGTTTTCGTATTTTGCCTCTTTTGCCAGTCAGCAGGGTGGCTGCAAAAGGGAAAGAAAAACCTTTGCAAAAATCCATAACTGGTGTCAAGGGGCTTACAGAAAGGCCTGCTGCTCCCCAGGCAGATGGTGGCTTAAAAAAAAAAAATAATAAAGCAAGCTGGGCTGATGCTAGAGCCGTGTTGCCATGGGAACAGGGAGGTAAGGATGCTGCTCAGATCTGACCGGATGGAAGCAGGTTCAGGATTAGGATTAGCAAAGAAGTGGCCAGATTCCCTCTGCCATGCATGGTTTTCCTATTCTCCTAAACACAAAGCAGGGCTCTCTGAAGGTCTGCATCACACATCTTGATGCAGATTTCAGCAATTTAAAAAGTATACACCCGAATGAGAGAGGGTACATGAACACTGAGGCACATCAGCTTTAGTGATCCACGCAAACTGGGTGTGTAAATGGCAGAAGGATGCCCACCTTCCAAAGCAAGACACAGCATGCAGCAGTGGTCAGCCACGAGTAGCTCTCCACGAGTTGGGCATTGGGAGTGTTGAACAGCACAGCCATACAGTCGGGATTGCAGAATAATAAGAGGATAATGATTTTAAATTGTCAGCCTTCTGCCTTAGGAAAACAAAGTTAATTGTGTCTGATATACATCAGTGTTATTTAAATATTACAAGAATCAGAAAATGGTTTGTGTTGGCAGAAGTACTTCAAGTATACTTGTTAGTTCCCTTTAGATGTTTGAAGTTAGCCTACCAAAAACAACGTTTTCATCTCGTCGCTGTTTTCAGAAGAACCCCTATGAGCTGATTTCAGGCACCTTGTTTCTCCAGCCAATTTCAAACCATAAACAGAGTCCAAAGCTAAACGCAATGAAAACAAACTCTCAGAATGAGAACAGAGCTAAATATGCAGATTGAGGTGATTTGAAGAGTGAGCATTGTTTTCTTGGCTGCTGTCTAATGACGAGCAAGATTCGGACCTTTAGAACTGAGGCAAACTCACACCCGGACGAAGAGAGCTCTGAAGTCCTGCAGCTTGCAGACTGCTGGCACCGCCTGCGGCTGAGCGCAGCCAGGTGCTTCGAGGAGCCCCGCTCAGATACTGCACTGATTGGGAGCAAATGTGCGCCCACCCCCGTGCCCAGCACGCAGGTGTCCAGCAAGTGGGTGTCTTTTTAAGCTGGAATAAATACAAACGACTAACTTTAGCTCATCTTTCCGACACGACTAGATGAATGGACTGGTTTTTTTTAGGGTTTGGTTTTAAAAAGGCTTTTTGAAAGAGTTTTCCTGCCAATTTCTAGAAACTTCTATGTTTCACTTCAGGCTTAGGAGCATTTCTGCTCGAGCTGGGACCGCTCGCACCACCTAATCAGCCGCGCAGGTCTGCAGGATGCGCTCTGCTGTCTTCCCTCGCCCCAAACCCACGCTCACGTGCGGTGCTTCTCAGCACACCTTGGAGCACAGAGCTCTCGGGCATCACTCTGACGTCTCCCGGCCGCTCTCCCTTCTTAGCGCTGCCGTGAGCTGAGGGACGGGGCTGCGGGCACAACGCCGGTTGCAGCCGGGAAGGGCTTGGCCGCCCCCGGGGGGACGGGCCGCGTGCCCGGGCTGCAGGCAAAGCCGCTTGGCCCGTCTGTTTTATTTTTAGCCGGCAACGCGGCGGGCGGGGCGGAGGCAGGGCGGGAGGGAGGAAGGACCGAGGCGGCACCAGGCGCGGGGTTACCGCAGGCGAGCCGCAGCCGCCGGGCTGTAGAGCTCAGCCGCCCGGCCCCGCCGCGGCAGGCAGCGGCACAGGCTGCGGCGCTCCCCGACCGGCTGCCCGTCGCTCATCGCGGCTCCCCGATGGCCAGCCCCGCGCTGGAGCTGGGAGAAGCGCAGCCCCCGCCCGACTGCCCGCAGCCCGAGCCGGCGTTCGGCGAGGCGCAGAAGTGGATCGAGGTAAGGCGATGGCAGCGCGGTGTGGGCGCCGTGCCGCAGTCCCGAGCTGCCGCCTGGCCGCGGGGCTCCGGCGGCTCTCGGAGCGCGCGATTTGCGCTCTGCGGCATCCGAGCCGCGCCGCAGCCCCCGCGCCGGATTTAAGCCCTTAATCGTATTTCCCTCGCCCGCCCCCTGGCTCGGGCTGAGCGGGGCGGCCGTAAACAGCAGCGCAGGTGCTGGAGCCGACGCTTCCTCCCGGGCTGGGGGCACCGGGTCTCCCCGGCCCTCCTGGAGACCAGACCCCCCGGGGCACCCCCGGCCGCAGAAGGGCCGCGAAGGTAACGCGGAAAGGCGCGTGGTGGTGGGGGTGCCCGCATCTCCTCCTGTGCCGCTCCCGAAAGCTGAGGGCGATGCGGCGCTGCCCCGCGGGTCTCGCTCGGGGTTTGCTCGCGCTGTAGAACGCGCAGACGGGCAGGTGGAGGTGAGATGCTGTAGTTCAATATTTTGGCGTGTAACAATAGCGACGCTTTGAGTAGTTCCGCGCCGTATTGCTGGTGCAGAATACCCGCAAATGTGGCATAAACCGAGATAGCCGGGTAGGAGATCCTGTCAGCTGCAGGCTTTGAGTTTAATCTGCGGCTGTTCTGCTCTCCTGCGGTGGTTGGGCGAATGGTTGGTAAAGTCGCCGCGACTGTGGGATTCCTACATTCTCAAGTATATTCTCAGGAATAATGGTTGACTCCAACATCATCTGAAACGGCAGTGCTGTGTCAGGCATTGACATAGCTGGCCAGTTGCTGTAGACCAGAGAGAGGACAAGAGGACCAGAGATGGGAACGCAGAGGAATGGGGAAAGAAGGACTTCTGTGCCAATGTACAGCTCAAGGGAGAAGTGCAGTGCGTGCAGGCAGCTGCGTAGGGCAGATGAATGAGGTGGTCCCCGTGTATCCTTCCTTACAACAGAGGAGCAGGAGGGAGGCATGTGACCCTGCTCAGTGCACAGCAGCTTATGACTGTTGGTTCTGGCTGCTAAGGATGCCAGGAACTCAGCAGCAAAGCAGGTCGGTAGGTAACGAGGCTGCCAGCAATCACTCCGGGCATGATGATAATGAAGGGAGTGTGAGCCTTCCTGTCTAGAAGCAGCGCGTGTGGGTCAGGCGGAAACCTCCCTCCTGGGCAGTTCCCTGTCTTCCCAAGTTCTCATGCCTATGCTGGTGTGATGGGGCAGGTAAGAGGAATAGGAAGAGGCTTAACTCCTTGATGCTGGTCCAGGAGATCCATGTGGATAGAGGAAGCTGGATGTAACCTCTCACCCTTCCTTACTCACTTTTTTCATCTTCTTGATGCATGGATGGCAAACGTGTGTTGTGTGTGGTGAGGCTGTCAGCTGCCTGTGAAGCAGGTGTGGTCCCATGTGTCTTGTGCATGGTATTTCCTTTTGTGTTAAGCTCTGAGGTATGAGGGTTAACACCTCTTAGAAAAGTGCGGTCAGTGTTCACCATCCTAAATCTGGGGGACTTGGACTGAGAAATGGTGTGGAACGTGATACTTTAGCCCAAGGATATTGAAAAGCAACATCAATTGTAACATCCTAAGATGTTATCTGTTTATTGTAGGTATTAAGCCCCATTGATTTGAGTGAAAACCAGAAATAGGGTTGTGCCATGCCTGGCTGCTAGGTCCACCTCGTTCAGCTTTGCAGTTGTTCCTCAGCTGTCTATGTGCTGGCCCAGAGGTGTTAGCAATCCTTGTGTGTGTGGTGGCCTCCAGCTCAGTGGTGAGCATTTACAAGGATGTCTCTCTCAAATGAAAATAAAACAAGCAGCAACTGCAGTCAGCTGGCTGCTGATGTCCTTGGTATGGGATGTGGAGGATTGGCAGTGAGGGTGCTAGCAGAGAGCTTGGAGTCTGTCAGACAGTAGAGCAGTGCCACACAAGGAAGCTGAGGCAGAAACACGCAGATCTGAAGCTGCACGTTGTTATTGGTAAGGAACCAGCTGTGTGGTTCAGGGATGGATCCTCATCCAGTTTAAATATCATCCAAGTCCTGTCTCTGCTGCAGCAGCATTCTGCTAGTCCAGGAGCAGGCTGGGCGCTGCACAGACAAGTGCTAAGGCTCAGAGTGAGTGTCCGAGAGGCCTGCCTTTGCTCCTTGGCATTTGATGTTTCACTAGAGCGTGTCAGCTGGGTGCTAGAAGTCATCTTTTTCCTCTCTCAGAGTTATTCCACTCTCTGAAGAATAGGAGAATCCTGCTTGCAGTGAAGTGGGTGGCTCCTCATAACAATCCCATCCCCTTTGTGCCTCCCTTGAGCTATGGAACAGAAGCACCGAAGTCCATCTGAGTGTGCAGAAGGGCCTGAGATCTGGATGTGGTGGTGACAGGTCTGATGTGATCTGCGTGTGACAGGAGCTGGGATGTGGGGATTCTGTGGACGTTCTGCTCCAATCACAAGTCACTGTTGATAGGAAACTGAAATTCAGCCTTGCTCACATGTTCAGTTCTGCACAAATATCAGCCATACTTCCCCCTGTGTAACAGTAAACCAGTTCTATTATTTTAGTTTGACTTGGCATGTGCTACTTACACAAAGAATGCCCTCTTAATGATAAAGTGAACCATATTAGTGGCACTCAGAAGACTTAAAATAAAGGCACCAGATGAAAAACCCTGCAAGGCAGCTCCATCAGCCTGCATTATTAAAGGTGCAGTATCTCGTTTCAATTAACACAGCTCAGTTTCACTGAAAGAATGTATCAGCCTTGTAAAGTGTAGTGGCTTACTAAAGCAAAATAACAAATCTAATTTAATCTAATGGCCCATAATTTTAAAATGTCAAGGTTCCCAGTGTGTTTGCTTAAACTACAATAACTGATGGTTGAAAGAACATCTGTATAAACAGTCGTTCTTGCTGCAAGGATTCGTAACAGCAATACAGTAATAAAGCCACATTTAATACTGGTGCAGCTCCTCAGGGTATTGTTATCTCCTCATCGCCTCATTAATATGCTCTGTCCTCATTGTTGAAACTTGGTTCAATTAGGGATGGCTTTTCCATAGACTTGTATTCCTTAGAAACTTTGCCAGCTGATAAGAATGCTTCCTCTATTGTTGTCTGGTAATAATAAACAAGGTGTGCTTTCTGTCCTCTATGGTCAGTATTTGACTTCGCCATTCCCTATAGATGTGCATGGCCTAACGTGCAGTAATTTCTAACTCTGCCACTTTCATATGTATTTTCCTGGAGAGTTGTGTTGTTAAGAAGCTTGTGAGCCAGAGGGGTTTGTTGGTTGTGTGGTTGTTTTTTTTCTTTACCTCCAATAGATTTCTCTGAAGGCAGCAGCTTTAAGCTGGTTGCTTCCAGAACTGGAGCCAGGTGTATTACTTGGTGCTTCTGGAAGTGCCCTTTTGTGCAGAACAGCCATGCCACCATCTGCTCCACCATATCTAGAGGCAGTGTGAGAGGTATAAAAACAGTGATCCGGGCAAGTGAATTTCATGTTAGTGTTTTGCCTCAGGAGTCTGGAAACAAGATTTTGTTAGGATGTCTCTCCCTTCTGCGGATGCAGTTCTAGAAGGCTGAGACTTATGTCTCCCATTGCTTAAAAGTCAGTGGGAGTAGCTCATTGACAAAATCATATATGATGAAGGAAGTGGATTGGGTTATCTACTGAAGGTGTCTAGAACCTGAGGAATACACACGTCGGTTTATATGGCCTTCAAAATACAGTGTGACACTGATTGGTGTGCCCTGGCTTGGAGGAATATCAGAGATAAAGCTCCTTCTATTGAACATACTGGTTAAACCTACTGATTGGCTACGTATATGAGAAACTTGTCTCTTGCAGGATTGTATCTAGACTATCTATCAACTCTTCCTTTGCTTTCAAAGGGATTTTAAGATCTTTGATTACGGACTCTAGTCCCACAACCATGGTGCCCCCACAAGACTGGGACCATCAGTCTTGTTGATACTCAGGAATAGATTAAATCCAGCAGATGTTTTCTGCAGCAGACAGCTCTGGAGAAGCCAGTCTGACTGCCTGTGAAAGTATCTGAATGCAACCACTCACATGTAGAAAGGTGCAATAAGACTTAGGACTACATGGTTTTATTAAGCAAATCTTGTAGGAAAGTTGGTGAGTTATGCTGCAAACAGTGCCTACAGCTGACATTTTTTTTTTTTTTTTCAGTTTCTAGTCTTTCCTGTTTTCTTTGTGTTACTTTTTCTTCTCTTACTGGAAGAGTGTTTTACTTGTGTACTTTACATAATGTATTGGGAATGAACTTAAAGGGACAAGTGTAGTTATCTAGGCCAACAGTGCCTGACCTGGTAATACTTCAGGTCTATAGCTTTGTACAATGAAGGGTGTCTGCCCTGCTGGTAAGAGAGTCCAGCTTGTGGGAAGGCTGCTGTATGCAACCCCAAATCCACTGGGGAAGTATAGCAGAGATTCTCAGTTACTTCAGTGAGCTTTGAACACAGGCCTTGAGCTTTGAAAAATAGCTTCAATTGACAGATTAGTATCCATCTTGGCTGTCTTTAAGCACCTAACTTGATAGCTGATATGTGCTAGTCACAAATCCCTCATCATGGTGGAAGTTATAAAGCCTAGTATTAAATGTGGAGGTTGGCAGGCCAGCCTGCAGCAGAGGGGTTGAGCTTGATGGTTCTTGGGGTCCCTTCCAACCCAAGCCATTTTATGATTGTATGAGGATGTTCCTCAGACTGGAATAAACTAATATGAATGGACCAGCTGGCTAATCTGTGGACAGCTAAAGTTAGATTAATATTTCCCACAATGTTTATAAGTCAATCATAAAGAGTCAAAAGATGGATGTGTGTTCAGAGTAACTTTACTGCAGTTATTATGACTGGCAATGGAATTCTTCATTCTTTCTCTACATCTCCAGGGCAGCATTTAGTGAGGGCAGATGAGGCTGATGGGGTGCTCTTCATTCTGGCTAGGTCAGTCATTCAGTGGAATGAAAACTAAATTGTTTTAAAGGGTTGGAAGTACA